CTGAGGATGGTGAGAAACATTCAAATTCACAGATTTATAGATTGATGACTCTCCCTGCCACTCTAATATTTGGGTTCCTGTTTTTAGGCTCTTATGAGAAGATTACATCCCATAGCAGTGAATCAAGTAAGTTTGTCTTTCCATGTGTGTAATTTGTAACTGCTTTATGAACGGTGCTCCAAGTCACAGTTTTCCTCTTTTCTCCCAGATTTCACCTGGATCATTGTATTAGCTGTGGTGTCGGTGGTTGCAGTGTCAGTGGTGATGTTGTATGTAGTTCAAATTCATCGCGATTGGATCTCGGCTTTCTTCACTGCTCATTTCAAACAACAAAACAAGACTGGGTAATTTTCACTTTAATATAGTCTCCTCGTAATGTAAGTTTGTCACTGTTAATATAGTAATGATTTACTGACATTAAGAAACATCACATGAACACCTATAAATCTTTTCAGAAAAAGCCCAGTAAATACCATTTCTATGTTTTTGTAGTATATAATTTAAATTCTTTAAATGTTTTCATCACTCAGGGACCCAGAGAAGACCAACACACCACTAAAATCAAAGCAAGACATTAATGAGTAAGTAAATGTCACAATTATTCATATTTTACAACATTTTTTCTTTGTCAGTTTTGTTTTTTCCATTTTCTTGTCTGTCAGCTTAACTTCATCCTGATGAAACTGAAGTGTTTCAGTGAATCACATCACACACTTAAGTTAATCACACTTAATCTTTTCATCTCCTTCATGTATGCATTGTTCATGAACTTTAATCTTCATGTATATATACAGTCATCATTTGCTCATATAAATATGTTGGCATACTGTAATAGTGTGAGTGGAAATGAACTCACGTCTTGTTTCTGTCTGAAGGAACAAAACACCTTTAATAGAGCACAAGAACGAGCAGCTCAGGCAGCGGACGTCTACAAAGAAAACTCCAAAAAACATCAGCAGGAAAGACCCTAACCCATCAGCAGCAAAAAGACTGTTTGGAGAAGATCAATCAATCTAAACTTAACGAGATGAACAAACTGCATCACTGGCTGATTAAACAAAGAGGACTGTGTCAACAACAAAGATTCCTACCTGATATTTCTAGACAACACTAATAAGAATTCAATAAAGAGAGATCAGTTGGAAGAAATGAAGATGATTTACTGAAACAGAGAATTTAATGTACTTGGTGATTAGACTCTGATGACCCGTCACGTCAGAGCGGAGGCTTGGATGGAGCTCTGACTGAGCTGTCTGTGAGGTGGAGACAGGGAGGAGGTGGGCTGAATGAATAACATGTACAACTAATAAATAATAGTTATTCTGCTTCATAGACATTTGTTTGTTATATCATACTGTTAAAATGTAATGGGTTATAAAGTTTTGATATTTTTAACATGGATTGTAACTGAGTAAAATAAGCTGTGAAGTGTGTTAAGTTCTTTCTGCAGATTAAATGAGGACTGCAGATTCAGCAGCAGTGAGATTCACACAGTTTCTGCATAGATGTGATTTATTTCCAAATGTAACTCAGTGTGTGCTGCAGATTTGCATCTAATATACACAGAATGAGCACATGATGGCACTGTTGGTTCAAACTAACTGAGGAAGTTTTGCAACTGTCAAAAGACCATGTCTTTAAACATTACTCTAAGAAAATCAAATGATAACGGTGTTTCTGGTTAGTTATTATTATATAAGTATAATGTTTTTATCTTATGGAAAAACTCTAAATAAATCGATTTGTATCTCCTATTTTCTCCTGCTTATGAGCTCATGTTTTTTAAAAAGTTGCATAGACTCCAAGTGCTTGTCTAAACAGATTAGACATGTTTCACAACTTAATCCGAGGTATTTGAAGCGTTTCATCTTACATTTGTCAGTCTGTCTGTGCATGAGTTCAAAACGAAAGTAGAAGTAAGTTGTTGGTCTGTTCCACTGCACACTGAAGAGGGGACAACGAGCTGTAAAATAGCAGAGAGGTTTTACAAAAAGGAAAAATGTTTATCAAGTCAGTGACTTATTAGCTATCACATCAAACACCATGAAATGTTGTGTAGCTGTTATTAGGAAGAAGGATGACTTTTACTTTGCTGTTTTTCACTCCACTCCCAGTGACATTGTGGACTGGCTGAACGTTCAACATAAGTTCAATATTGGGCGTTGTTTGTTAGCTTTTTAAATTTGGTAATGTGCAGAAAAAATGGCAGCACGCAGTCACAATTGTCCTTTTATTGCTGGCAGTCTTTTCAAAAG